TTATTGTTATTTTTTAGTGAATATATTATTGTTCACTGCCCAAGTGCCATCAAAAGCACTAAAAGAAATTCACTTTTCTCAAACCAAGCTGCAATCAAACAACATGAAAAGATCTTTACAACCTGAGGGTTGGATTTGATGGTCTGGGAGGGCTTTTCCAATCTAAAATGTGAATTATTCCAAGGTAGAAAGAGGGCAGGGGATGTTTTGGGGCTGGAAAGGGCATTTTGGAAAGTGTGGCCATGGAGGAGCCCCTGCAGCAGAGCCCTCTCCCAGTGCATGGGAGAAGCAGGGAAAGTGCATGGAAAAGACTCAGCCCCTCACTAAGGAGACTTCCTTTTCCTGTCAAAATTAAAAAAAGAGGAGTGGCAGAACACCCACAACTGCAAACCACAAGAGGTCTGGAAAAATAAATTAATTCATCCTAATTGTGGACTTTCCAACTGCTCAAAGTTGAAAATACAAGATGTGTCTGAGGAGAAGAAAGCCCAGAAACTGTAAAAACACATGGACATCTCATTTAAAATGCAGCCAACCATCCCCAGTGCTCATCAGGAAGACTTCACCGTTTTTTTTTTTTTTAAACACAAACATTTTTGCACTTATAAAATATTCAGTCAGCTCACATATAAAAATACAAGTGGAATCCATTATTAATTTACAAGGCCCTGTTTAATTTACATGCTGTTTTTCTCTGGTATATTAAATGTATCAAGGCTTGTGGAAATCCTCTCCGCCGAATATTCGTAGGCTGACGTGTAAAATTATCTGTTATCCATCTGACAAATTCCAGCACAAACTCCAAACCACCACTTGCTCAGAGAATTGCTCTGGCAGGAACACCAGGAGCAGCACCCAGGAATTCTCAGTTCCAGAGGAAAAGTGACACCACCACACACATTCTTATCACCCCAGATTTAAGCTGGCTTTCTGTATTTTTGCCTTTAGTAACATTTCACCCAAAATGTAAACACCACCAACATTCTTGGATGCCTTAGAGGGCTTTTCCAGCCTAAATGAGTGTATGATCCTATTAATGCACGACCCCAAAAATCCACGGGGTTCTGTGGTTCCATAAATCCCTGTTTTGGGTGGTCACTCGCCCACTCCATCGTGTCCATGGCCACAGATCTCCCCCTAATTACACCTGAAACACCCAATTCCCAAACATGGGAAGTTCTGCCCTTGCTGCCCTGTAATTTAATTACACCAGACTAATGATGGATATTGGAGCCCTGAGCATGAGGGTGAGGGAGGAGCTCACTGCCCCCTCCCCTGCTCTGCCAGCCACACTTCACAACTCCCCACAAGCCCAAATCTGGATATTTTAAACTCCTCTGAGCTCCCAGGAGAACACACCCAGTGTTTGGAAGGGAGATGTTATCCCACTGATTCCTCCTGCTGTAGGAATGCTGCTCCTCACCTCTTCAGCATCAGTTCCTTCCCTCAGTCGTTTCAGGAAATATTCCTTATTTTGGGATAAATGTCCTGTTCTGGCACAGCTAACGAGCATCTGGCTCGCAGCCACGAGGGTTTTCCCAAATATTAAATGGATTTTTGGTAGAAGATAAATCCAGTCACGTGCAACCCAACTGAAAAAACACAGGCAAAACCCAAACGTTGTCTTATTCCAAAGGATAGCTGAGATATTTGTGGTTATTTGGTGTAACCAAGATAATAATCAAGATAAACCCTTCCCCTCCAACCAGGCAATTTTCCCCTGGTTTCTTTCACTGTTACCATTTTCAGGAAGCAGTTTGTGGCTCACCTGCTGGCTGGAAACGGCACGGGGCTGGGAGAGAGCCCAGCAGGAAAGAGAGGATATCCAAAACCCTGCCGAACAGCCCCGAGTCCAAAGGGGTCAAACACGAAACCAACTCCTCTGCAGAGAGGGAGGCACCTCATCCCTGGCCGGAATACCAACGTGCTGGGCAGGAATCCGGGAGGAGAAGAGGCTGGAAGGGCCACCACGGGGTGCTGGGCAGGGAAGGGAAGAGCTGAGAGCTAAAAGCCCGTTCTGGCGAGCGGGGCCGAGCTCCCCAAAGACCTCCCGGATCCCGGTGACTGCCTCCTGTATTAAGACTGCCTTTCTCATCACTTAATGCTTATTTTCATCACTTTGCTTAAAATATTGATAATCAATTAGGGCTACGTCTGTTTTGCCACAGAATCTGTGTCACAGTCTATCAGCCTGTCAGGGCCAATTCAATCCTCATTCAAAGTTAATTTTTTCTCCATAAATCCGCCTTTGGAGGAGTCATTAGGCGCAGAACATAGCCCGAGGTGCAATCACCTATTCTCTTTCATTAGAGGCAGGCAGGGAAGGTGAGGGAGATTATTAGAACTTTGGAATGATCACAAAGCAGCGTGCTGCCTGTCAGATCCCCCCAACATTTCATTCATCTCGCCAGCTCGCTGCCAAGGCTTCTAAATGGACATTATTCATGAACATCTGTGACACGCTGAATATTCCGAGGCTGGCAGGGATGAAAAAGCCATG